TTTTTTTTTAACTGATTAAGATATGTAACCTATCCCGCAATTGGAAAATTCTCTGTAAAAGAATTCTTATGTTATATGTGTAAGGATAAGGGTGGCATAAAAAGAAATACGAATATGCTGTTTATGAAGCGTTTTATTAGTAGTAGGATGGTTACAATTGTGCAAATCCGCAAGGGGGCGAGTTTCGAACGCGAAAAAAGGAATGATTGTGTCATACTTTCTCATACAGACACACATACATCCATACACCATATTCCAAACACGCGGCGCCTCGTCTCAAGAAAATCTCGCTGTTACATGCTTACAGTGTGCTAGCATCTAATTACAAAGGATTTCATTTAATGACACAGATCGTATGCAATAAAAGTGGAATATTTAAAAATGCAGTAGATTACTTTCGCCCTTTCATCGACAATTTCTTGACCATCATATACTACAAACATGAATAAAAATTCTAACAATATCACACTCCGATGTTGCTTACTGGGTGAAGTGTATTGCACGTCGAGAAAAATATCTAAATGAAAAGATATACATACTAAGTTATAAGTACTAAATTATACAAAATTGCTTAATTGTGGCAATAATGCACACCTATATAAATTAACTACTAGGGAACTGTCTTGTACTGACACCAACTTCTTCAATTCCCAAAATATCCGAGTATTTCGCAAAATCCGTAACAACTTATAATGATAATATGTTTCAATTATTTTGCTCTTTCGTTGTGTCTTATAAAATGGTACAAAAGTTCATCAGATCTAATTGAAACTAACTATTTACATTGGCAATTGCAAATCACACTGATATACGCTCGAATATTATTAAACAACGTGTTCTTCATTCTTCTTTGTCTTTTCCACTGCGGTATAATGGGTGCTGGGACGCACTTAATTTCCTCGGCTTCATCCGCAGATTTTTCATCGAAGTTAACGATTTTGCGTGGGATTGACAATTTCCTTTTAGCTCTTTGTTTTCCACAGCTATCAGAAATTTGCTTGTTCTTCATCGGAGACTTTTCCAAGATAGCACATTCGGGTAATCCATTTTCCGTTTTTTGGACATGTTCCCCCGGAGAATCCGTGGACTCTGCTGTACTAGAAGTTTCTTCGTCCTTCTCCGATGGACTTGTCGATGTAGACGACTTACTGTCGTTATCTGTCCCCTCGCTATTTTGGAGAGCGAGTTTCGCAGCGGCAGTCGCGCTGCGCGTCATAACTCTGCCATTCGACAGATTACAAGGAGGTTTGTTATTCGACTGTTTCCTAAGACGTTCCTCCTCCATTTTACGTTTTTTGGCTTTAATTATCGCACGAGACTTTCTCCAAGCTTCTGCCATACTGCTTCGTTTCCATACGTAGTAGAAGGGGGTAAAATCTTCCTGCGAACACAAAGTTGGAAATGTTTTCGTTTATTCTTTGAAATTAATTCTTGGAGACGAATTGAAAAGGGGTAGACAAAAAATACATTATGAAAAGCTATCGCAGTAGGAAAATAAACTTACTACTCGTTTATGCGGAACCATCTTCCTCCTAATGATTGAAAAATTCTTGCCGTATTTCATGATGCCATCCGTGAAGAGTTGCTGTAACATCAAAACGCAACAACAAAAAGATTAAAATGTTTAATTCGTCGTCAAAAGAAACTACAATGGCGTAGAAGAGTTTTTTTTATATTCCAAGAGCGAATTCATTCTAATAGAGTTTCCACTATTAAATATAAGCACAGGTATAGTAACAAATAAAAAAAGACAACGCTACGAGATATATGATATCAATTAAAATTCTTTAAAGAATCTACTTTGAAATATGAAACGTTGTACGTTAGTGTAAAAATTGGAAATTTTTATTGTATTGTCATAATCGATTCAATTTGATCGCCAAATTATTAATATTCTAATATTCGACTCCCGATATAAAATCAACTGTACGATACTTACCATATCCTCTGGCTTCCATTTGTTAAGGACTTTCTGCGGTATATCTTGAATACATATCATTTGCAGCGCTTCGTGCGGCTCATAGTTGATGTCGTGAAGAACATCCGATATGTATTGTTCCGCAACATCAGAACACGAGTTTTCTATTGCATCCGTGTCTGGAATGCCCTCATGTTGCTGCTTCAATGTTAAAGCAGTTCGGGCTACCAGAGTATAGTGATAGAACCAACCCTCCACATTCACATTCGGATCCCACATCTTCTCCTCCCGAGAAGTTGTATATTCTTTTTCAGAGTATGGCCGATCCTGACATTCGGGGATGATAGCATATTCCTGCAATTTTAACAATTACATTTTTAATTCATCTCAATGAATTCCAAAATATCTGCCTTATAAAGGAAAAGTAACGAAGAATTAATGTTGATGGTCGAATGAATTTCACTTTAATCAAAATCTTTAAGAGAAAAAGGGGTACGTACCATAATCCGATCTTTCGTCTC